CTCCGGCCTCCGATTTGGCCCCACCCTCCTCCCCCGGGCGTACGGATAATGATCCGCTCCCCTGCTTGCATCGGAGCAGAATTCTTTGCGCCGAGGTTGATGTATCTATGCTCCCAGCTTCCGTCTTGCTTTCTTACGCGGCGCACCCAGATGTTTTGACCACACTGGGCGTCCTCGCCTCCCTCCAATCCATATGGATGGTAGACTCTTCGTTCGGAGAGGATAGAGACTTGCACGGGAATACGAAATTCAATGTCTCGCATAACGCCATTCCCGCCGCGGTGCTGACCATTGCCTCCTGAATTGGGTCGAAGACTGAATTCTCGGAGGATCACAGGGTACCGCCGCTCAAACACCTCTGCATCAGTAATTCGAGTGTTAGTCATATGTGTGTGAACCCCTGAAGTGCCTTCCCAAGTTGGACCAGCACCGCTACCACCGGCGATGGTTTCGTAGTAACCAAACCCTTTCGTTTCCGTCTCGCCGGGCATATTCCCTCCGAATCCAAATGTGAGATTGTTGGTATCACCCTGTGATGCAGCGCAAGCCTGAAAGCACCTCAAAATGACGTCGGTCACTCGCTGACTCTGTGAAGGAAAAAAAGATGAGCCCATGATTAATATCGGTGTCCGTCTGGTCTTACCGTCAAGACATTGCCACCCACCACGGCAGCTGATTCCGAGGGGGATAGAAGACTTCCAGGGGGGATTCGAACGTCAATTGGCTTTAAACAACCCTGATTCAATGGGATATCTGCTGAAATAAGGCATCGCAGGCAATAGATGATCGCCGAGTATGTTACAGCCTCCGGTGCATTTATATTGCCTGATCATTGTCAGCTCAAGAAACATCAAGTTCCTTGTTGCATGCCAGTCGACCATACCATATACCTCTGGGCCTGTCCCCTCGAAATCGAAGATTGCCTCTCCTTTGTCCCCATCTATTGATATCTTCAATTGAATAGGGCTCCCATCATCCATATAATCAATAGCACTCAGTTCTTGACCAGCAAATCTCTTGCTCACATCTTTTAGTAGATTGCGCACGCTGAGCTCTGCGTTGTCTTGGATCTGGTGCATATAGAACTGCACGACAGCCTCACCATACTCCTCGGTTAGAATGCTGATCAAGTTGATCCCTTTCTTATTCGCAGCAATTTGAGCTTTGAGGTCATTCAAATTATCTGCTAGGCATCGAGTCCCACTGCAGTTTGGATACTGGGCCGGCTCTTTGAACAGCAATTCGGTGATGCGCTTCTCGTCAAACTTGCCCTCTGATACCAATTTTTCGCTCTTGATGGCTGCGCCTTCTTGGTAAAGCTCTTTTGAATGAGGTGGCATAGATCCCGGGAGTATTCCTCCAATGTCGGCTTTATGTATGTTAGAATATCTGTTCTTTACCCCCTCTACCATCTTTCACTTGGGGGAAACGTCTTACCATGATGCGCCCTAGAGGCGACGTAGAATATGATCTTTCCCTGGCTAAAAGCAGGCTGCAGGACTGTGATATCTGGGAGATGAGTTCCCCCGAATTCCGGGTGATTTGATACGATTACATCGCCGGGATACAGTTTATCTTGCCAGATCCGGGCCTGTATCCGTACACAGGTTGACATGCTACCGAGATGGACGGGCAAATGTGGTGCATTCGCAACAAGCCCGCCGTCTGCATCGAACAATGCGCAGGAGTAGTCAAGTCGCTCCTTTACATTCGTACTTACACTTGTCTTCTGTAAAGCACGTCCCATCTGCTCGGCAATAGCCATGAATCTGTGCGAAAAGACACTCAGCAGGATAGGATCCACATTGTCGGTGCTAATCTTTGGTAGGCTGGCATCCAATTCACCAATGTTGATGACGACGTGGGTTTTTGTCAAAAGCGCTGAGGCTCCTGGGGTCACCACGATTGTTTGAGTGTCATCGGCTAAAATCGCGGGGCCTCTCACTCGCTCATCAACCTTCAAGTCGTTCAGTTTATAGATTGGTGTTTCACGTCGGCCGCCTTCGAAGTATACAAGAGATCTGCGATACTCTTGGTCCATCCTCACGTCCTTCGGGTTGGATTCCTGGATCTGTCGGTCCACTGTCTTCTCGGATATCTTGAATCCTTTCCCAATTCCTCTCACCCGCACGTCGTCTACGATGATATCTCGGTCTGGGAGAGTAAAACCAAACTCTTGGTCATGTTGCTTCATAAATGCCTTACCAAAGGCCCATTCGTCGCCCCCAAAGTGAAGATCGGCCTCCTCTTTGCTGGGTTTAAGTATCATCAAGGCAGATTCTGTGCCTCGATATCGCATATTGAGGTATTCTTCAAACATAATTGAATCGTTGTTGAAGCCTTGGTCTCGCAACCTCTGCGTGGATCGTTTCTTTAACTCTTCTATTCTCGAACCAAGTGCATCCCGAACCCCTTCCTTGCCACCATCATCATCCTTAGCAGCAGCCCAGGTCTTCGATTCAGGCTCTTGGTTTTCATCAACAACATCTGCTAGTGCCATTCCGTATGCCGAGAGCACCGAGGAATACCGATGAATCAAAATCTGCCGAATCCCCAGGCTCTTAGCAATGGCAACGGCATGCTGGCCCCCGGCTCCTCCAAATGTAGCCAACCTGTGTTTTGAGGTGTCATGTCCCTTGGCCTCTGTCAGAGATCGAATGGGCCGGATCATTGTCTCGTTGGCTACCTTGATAAAACCAAATGCAACCTCGTCAGGGGACATTTCTCGGCTTTGGCCCCCTTTGGCCAACTTCTGGTTGATTGCTTTGGTTAGTTCTTCAAACAACACCCGACTAGCCTGTTCATCCAATCTCTGGCTTTCATCTGAGCCGAAAATCTTTGGAAAGAAGTCTGGGACCAATCGCCCAAGGAATAGATTGGCATCAGTTACTGTGAGTGGTCCACTCTTGCGATAACATGCGGGCCCTGGATGGGCTCCTGCTGACTCGGGCCCAACAACAAAGAGACCGTTACGGTAAAACAACCTCGAGCCGCCACCTGCAGCAACGGTGTTGATATCCAACTGAGGAGACTGAATTGTCACTCCAGCGGTGGTTGTCTCAAAGACATGTTCATACCGGCCGGATCCATACCTGCTAACATCCGTGCTCGTCCCTCCCATATCAAACCCTATTACAGGTGTCTTTGACACAGGATCGTAGGAAGTTAACGCATACCCCACCACTCCGCCAGCAGGTCCTGACAGAATTGCTCGTAGGCCTGAAAATTGGTCCACATCCACAAGGCCACCGTCCGATTGCATGAATTCACAGCGTGCGCCTTTGGCCCCTGCCTGCTGTTTGACACTCTCACTGCCTAAGCCACCCTCAAATCCGGCTTGAAATCCAGAGATGTACTTCTTGATAGCAGGGGTCAAATATGCATCGGCGCAGGCTGAAGTGGTCCTCGGCACAAGTTTAATCATCGGCATGAGCTGGTGGCTCGAACTCACATGGTGGAAACCAATATCCTTGGCGATTCTTCCCACCAATACCTCATGGTCTGGAAAGGTGTACCCGTGCATAAAACATACTGCTATGCTTCTAATCCCGTGGCTGTATACCTCTTTCAGCTGCGATTTCACTAATTCTTCAGACGGACGCTTCAGTATGCGAACTGCTTCCGAAGAAAGGCCCCGAACCACATCGCCTGCTGCCTGGGTCTGGTCCCGGCGAGTAGTGGCAGTGGTGCTTCGTTGCGGATCTTCTGCGTAATCTTCCAAAGTGACGCGCTCGTCAACCTCAATCACCTCCTCGTAAAGGACGCTGGGACGTTTGATGGCGAGGTCAAATATTCTAGGACGAGACTGATTCCCAATCTCGAGGCAGTCTTTGAAGCCCTTGCTTACCACCAGCGCTACCTTCTCTCCCTTCCGTTCGAGCAGCGCATTTGTTGCCACGGTTGTACCCATGCGAATGCTCTGGATCAAAGAAGTATCGATGGGTTCCCCGCGAGGGATGTCGTGGCCTGTAAAGTTGGAAAGAATACGCCGGATGCCCTCCAAAGGTGCATCTTTGTAGTTGTTGGGATCTTCCGAGAGCAGTTTAATCACAATGTCATCTTCCAAGCGGCCGGTCCCTGGATTTCCAACGCAATCGGTAAAGGTCCCGCCTCTCTTTACCATGTCAGTGTTTTGGATAAGTCGGGGGGGATGAAGACTAATACATCGATTGCAATGTTGATTCCTGTTTGTTTTGCTAAAGTCATAATTGAAAAGTAGCCGAACGTTGAAAAAGTAGCAATAGATTACTTTGATGCCCCCGGGTTCCCCGCGCTAAATATCCTACGTCATTACTATGATGTGGGCAAATTTCAAAATATATCGGATTTTAGGATATGCTGTGGCCTTTTGGTCTTTTGAGTGTTTTGTTTTATTTTTTCTTCACCTTATTGACAAAGCTGTGGAAATGATGATTGAAAAATGGTCCCCAACAGCATTAACCTTGCATACAACTAAGGCACTACAGTGGTTTAGAGAAACAAGACCACATAGGATGGCGACCGGTCGAAGAGGGCGAGGAATTGAAATAATCGATTTCAAATTAAATTGCGAACAAGACGGAGGGCGGATCGGAATTCATCGTGGTATTTGGGCGCGGACTTGGAACGATCGTTCGACGTTCGCTTCGGTGGGATCCGAGCTGCTGACCAGGATAAATTACCAACCTCAAAAATAAAATAAAAAACAAATATTGGGAATAACTCGGGGAAAAGCAAAATTGAAAAAAAGGAAGGGGAAAGCAGGGGTCACACGTTCACTTGGTCCCAGCTTGTCCTGAAGAGTAAGCTTCACGCCATTTGAAATCAGAGCCACCTAGGCAAAGGGGGACGAGATCCGAGATATGCCACAGGATGTATTAAGAGCAATACTGGGGCGATAACCTTGTCTGCTCCCTCCCCCTAGTTGGCACAACCGAAATGAAGGAAACCTTCAGAAGACGAAAACAGAATGACGACGGGAGACATAGGTCGAGAGCGAATGAACGTAGTACTGAGTTGATCTACTCAGCAGTATCAAGCTCATCATGGGCAGAGGGCATTGGGTCCAGGGGTACTACTGTATGTGAGTGAAAAGAACATTTTCTAGGTTGGGGAGGCAACTGACCTTTCCTGTCCTCACCGTTGGGGCCGTTCTCACGGTCCTCCTCACGACGCTCCCGATCATCATCACGTCTTTCCCGGTCATCCTTGCCATCACGTTCACGTTCATCGGGGCTACGAGAGCGGTCACGAGAACGGTCACGGTCACGTCGATCGTGGTCACGGTCACGGCGGTCAGAATCACGGTCGCGGCGGTCGTAGTCGCGGTCGGTGCGGTCGGCGTCTCGTTCGTACCGATCGTCTCGGCGGGGGGAATAGTCGCCACCACGGCTGCGACGAGGGGATGGGGAACGACCACGGCGAGGAGGAGTGCGATCACGGCGACGATCACGGCCAGCATCACGGCCAGCATCGCGACCAGCGTCACGGGGAGCATCACGGGGAGCGTCACGGCCAGAGCCAGAGTCAAAGCGCCAGGAAGCAGAGGGAGGAGTGCGTGCCCACTGGAGACAGGTTAAAAAAGTTATTTAACAAGATTTTGGGAGTGGGGAGGATATGCTTACCTCAATCTTCAGCAAATCATCGCGGCCGATACGCTTGTTGTGCATCTCATGGTAAGCATCATCGGCATCGCGGCGACTCTCGTATTCAACAAAGGCGAAGCTAAGTAATTTAAATTAGAAAGGTAGAATGGTTTCAGATATCACCTTTCAACTCACAGTCGGCTGGAGGGAGTGCGCGGGGCAGGGATATCACAGCGAACAAGACGCCCATAACTAGTTCCAAAATCAGTTGAGCTAGCTCTAGGGACCGGTATCGAGAGAAATTATGATGAGGAAGGACCAAGACTAGCTAACCGTTGCCCTAGGAGTGAGACAGGGCAACGTAGACAGGCACAAGCTTCCACGCCAATGTCACGCTAGTTGGAGAGAAAGAAGAGCGTCGTCCAAGGCATTTAGTGCCAATGGTCTTCATCGGGAGGTCGTCGGAGTGATGGGAATCGAAGTTCGTAGGTGCGAAGGTAGAGGCGACACGTACCGTTCGAATTCGTAGGCAAGATCGCGAGCACGGGTGCCATGGCCAAACCCGGTAACATACAGAGTAGTTCCAGAGCGAGAAGACATGGTGCCGTTAGCACACAGAGCAATGGAAAAGAAAGAAGATTGGGTCAGTTGGAATTTGGAAGAAATCTGAAAGGAGAGGTGGAGCTTAAAAAGCTTCAAGAGGATAAAGAGTATAAAGAAGAGAGAGGAGAGCACAAGGAAAGAATTAGTGATGAAGGTGCTACGGTGGATCAAACATGCCAATGACGCAATTGATTTCGGGTTTTCTTTTCTTTTCTTCTCTTTTCCTTTTTATTTTATTTTATGACAGAAAGATGATGATAACATTTGAACATCTTTCAGATCTAATATTTACATTCTTCATTTTTAAATAAAAACAAAATTTGATCTATCTACAAAATCTATAATGTTAAGATCTAGACATAGTTACTAAGATACTATACAACATACTAGTTATGTACTCCGTAGCTTACCCGTGGACCCCCAAGGCAGGTACGTAATATAAGTGGCGGACTATCGGGAGGTACCGTGTCTGTCGGTAAGTCGGATGTTCTTCTCTTTCTCTCTCACCTTGACCCTCCAGCCATACAACTCATTCTTGTGTGATCTGTGACACTTTTTTGGGGGGAGGTTTCCTATTCTCTTGTTTCTTGTTTCTTTTTACCTGTTCAACTACATTTCCCATCAACATTGAAGGGGAGGGGGCAAAAAAAAGCAAATCCGGCCTAACAACCTATCTGATCATAGCAAAGCCATCTCTTTTTGACCTTGCTTCTCCTTTTTGACAAATTTACTGCCAAAATTACCCTTTATACCTCTATTATATGGCCATTGAAAGAAGCAATACACTATTGGACACAAGACCAAAGATGTGCTTTTAGATCACCAAATCTCGGGAAATAACCAACCTTCATGGCTAGCACTACACCAATAGTGCTTCATCCCATTTGATCTCCAGCAACAAAATCAGGCTTCATTTCCGATTGAAAGAATTACCGGAAATCATTATACAGCAAAATACAGAGGACTACTTTTATCAAGCCCATTTGCGAAACCGGATGTGCATATCTTCAAAATGAGCTTGGATCGCCAGGATGCTATTCAGAAGGATGGATTGGAGGGTGCAGCAAAGCCTGCCTTGCAGAATCTCTCCAAGTTTCCCTCTAGTTCAAATCCAGCCAAGGTAAGAAGGAGGACCCCCCGNCCCCCCCCCCCCCCCCCCCCCCAAAAACATATGTGAGCTGGTAGACTGACTGGTTGTTTAACGCAGGAGCTGATTAATGAACAAACCCCCTCAATGTTGGTTCGTACTAGAAAGAACCTCGCCGAACCAGTGGTGGCTGCATTTATGGCTGGTGGAGTGGCTGGCGCAGTTTCCAGAACAATAGTGTCACCACTCGAACGGTTGAAAATCCTTCTTCAAATTCAAAGCGTTGGTCGAACAGAATACAGATTGTCAATCTGGAAAGCCTTGGTGAAGATGGGGCGGGAAGAAGGCTGGCGGGGCTTCATGCGAGGTAATGGAACAAACTGTATTCGCATTATCCCTTATTCTGCGGTACAGTTTGGGAGCTATAATTTTTACAAGCAAGTAGGTGGCTATTCCTATCCCTGCAGTAGTAGGGTTTGATGCAAACTAACATTGCTTTGATTTAGTTTGTAGAGTCTCCCGATGGTGAGATGACTCCGATGAGTCGCCTTGTTTGTGGAGGTGTTGCCGGCATCACCTCGGTGACCATCACTTATCCTCTGGACATCGTTCGAACCCGGCTTTCTATTCAATCCGCTTCATTTGCCGATCTTGGAGCAAGAGATCCAAGCCAAAAACTGCCAGGCATGTTCACCACAATGGCCATGATCTATAAAAATGAAGGTGGGACAAAGGCTTTATATCGTGGAATTGCTCCTACTGTTGCCGGAGTAGCGCCATATGTGAGTTTGTCAACTTAATTTGGCTCTTGGTCATAACTGACAAGCGATAGGTGGGACTCAATTTTATGACCTACGAATCGGTGCGCAAGTATCTAACACCGGAAGGGGACAAAAACCCTAGCTCCTATCGAAAATTACTGGCTGGCGCGATCTCTGGAGCAGTCGCCCAGACGTGTACCTATCCTTTGTCAGTTCCTTTATTGCATTCGCTAAGCCCCTGAAACTGACTTTTTCCTTAGTGATGTGCTACGTCGGCGATTCCAGATAAACACAATGTCGGGAATGGGTTACCAATACACTTCGATCTGGGATGCTGTAAGGGTCATTGTGGCTGAAGAGGGACTACGTGGACTCTTCAAGGGGATAGGGCCGAATCTTTTAAAAGTGGCTCCTAGTATGGCCAGTAGCTGGTTGAGTTTTGAAATGACTCGTGATTTCTTTGTCGGCTTGAATGATAGAGAATAGTTGTTTTTCAAATAATATATGTACGTAGATATTTCTTCTCATTGTTGTACAATGTACAGAATACAAGAGTACAGAGTACAAAGTACATAGGCCATAGTAGAATTTGAAGATAAGGTTCGGAGTAATTCTCTACTCTCCAGGGCTAGATGCAGCGAGATCCACCTACCACGTGACCAGGTGGCGAGTCAAATTCATGTGTCACGTGGTCACACCCAGGTCATGTGCCTCGCCTTTCCTAGTCAAGTCTAGCGTAGGGCTAAACCCACACAACACTGTCCAGCCGAAAGTCAAGGATCAAAAACCTCCTGCACTTTCCATACGGGTGCGACAGCAAGCTATTTCCCGGGAAGTCGACCAATACACAGCCATGGGTATGTTCAATCATCTCCGTTCACTCGACTATTGCTTCTCGCAGCATTGATTCAAACGTCCTTGTTTTTTTCTCGTTCTCAAGGCCATTCCACTGACAATTTATAAATCGCAGGTATCGACCTGGACCGCCACCATGTGCGGAGCAGCCACCGCAAGGCTCCCAAGAGCGACAACGTCTACTTGAAGGTTCTGGTGAAGCTCTACCGCTTCTTGGCTCGTATGACTCCCCCCGATTCCGAATTTCGTTTGCAGCACAATTTTTACAGGTGTACCGTTGTGGGGATTTTAATGAGGCTGATATGGAATGCATGATAGGCCGCACCGAGTCCAACTTCAACAAGGCCGTCCTCCGTCGTCTCTTCATGTCGAGAATTAACCGTCCCCCGGTTTCCCTCTCTCGCGCTGTTGCCAACATCAGCGAGGCCCAGAAGGGAAAGACCGTCGTCGTTGTCGGCACTGTCACCGATGACAACCGCCTTTTGACCGTCCCCAAGCTGTCGATTGCTGCCCTCCGTTTCACCGCTACCGCTCGCGCTCGCATTGAGAAGGCCGGTGGTGAGACTTTGACTCTTGACCAGCTTGCTCTCCGCGCTCCTACCGGTGCCAACACTCTCCTCCTGCGTGGACCCAAGAATGCCCGTGAGGCCGTGAAGCACTTCGGCTTCGGTCCTCACACCGACAAGGTGCGTGATTATGACTGGGAAATGAGATGGTGTGATTTAAATTTACTAACTCAAAACAGAAGCCGTACGTGGGAAGCAAGGGCCGCAAGTTCGAGCGGGCTCGTGGTCGCAGACGTTCCAAGGGTTTCAAGGTTTAAGGGACATGATGAGGATGATGTGGTGTGTATGTATTGTGAAAGATGCATTGGCCACATTGACTTTCTCGGTGCCTGGAATCGTTCCAGTTCTAGCCAGAGACCTCAAGTCTGTGTACTTAAAAGTGGCGGGATGTCTTTGGTTGGACTGGGAAATGAGAATTTACGAATGAAGGGGCAAAAGAAAATTGAATCAGGCTTTGTCCTAAGTTTTTTCTTATGGGATTTTCAAACAAGAAAGCAAAGGGAAAAAAAAATCTTTTTAAAATGATATCCTTCTACTGATGTGTTGCGCTGGAGGCGATTACTGGCCTATGGGCAGATTAGTATGGAGATATTTCCTCCCTCCTTCACCATCATAGTCCGCTGCCCCGTGACCATTTCCCCGGATCAAGTACTTGTAGATCGTCAGGCCCTCAAGTCCGACCGGTCCTCGCGAATGAATCTTGTTGGTGCTGATGCCAACTTCTGTACCAAATCCAAAGCGCATGCCATCGGCAAATCTAGTAGATGCATTCCAGAAAACACCCGCGCTGTCAATTCCACTCATGAACATATCCGCTGCTTCTTTCGACTGGGTCAAAATGAGCTCTGTATGTTTGGAGGAGTGCATGTTTATATGGGCAATGGCAGCCTCCACAGCCGTGGTTGAAGGGTCAGTCGAAGGAATTGTTTTCACTGCCAACACGAGGTCCAAGAACTCAGTGTTATAGTCGGATTCAGTGGCCGTTTGTACTTGCGCTGATTTCTCGGCTGGCAATGTCTTTGTCAAAGCAGATTTTGAATCAGGATCACAACGGAGAGTCACCCCTTTCTCTAGGAGAGCAGCAGCTACCGCCGGGAACACCGATTCAAGAGTATCCTCATGGACAAGCAAGGACTCCAATGAGTTGCATGCCGCTGGATAGTCCGTTTTTGAATCCACAATCACCTTCACAGCAGTGTCGATATCAGCATCGGCGTGTATGTAAGCGGAGCAAAGGCCATCGGCATGTCCAAGCACAGGGATTTTCGTATTCTCTTTCACGAAACGGACAAGTTCGTTGGAACCCCGGGGAATAACCAAGTCAATCAGCGAATCCTGGGCCAAGAGAGAAGACACAGCATCGCGTGTCTTGACCAGCTGGATTGATGACACTGGCACGCGAGATTCGGCGATAGCTTTAGAGACAACGTTCGCAATTGCCGCAAATGACTCCATAGATTCCTTCCCACCTAGAAATTTACGTCAATTGAACATTATCATGAAACCTTGTAACGGCGTGTGTGTACCTTTCAGAATAGCAGCGTTACCTGACTTGATAGCCAATGCAGCGATGTTTGCAATTACCTCTGGGCGGGCCTCAAAGATAATTAGTAGCACACCGATAGGGCAGCTGACTCTCTCGAGTGTCAGACCATCGTCAAGGAGGGTTCGTAGTGTCACTTTCCCAACTATAATTGCGTTGTGTTAAGCTTTGTCTCTATGAAGCTCAAAAAAATAGAAAGAGTACTCACTAGGGTCATCCAAATCTCGCACACTCAAGATTCCATCGAGCATGTCTTTGTATTTTCCAGGCCGCGACAAGTCAAGTCTCTTGAGCACGCTATGACTCAAATTCCCGCTCTCGGCCGCAATAGTAGCAAGTTCCACATCCCTAGCATTGGCTTCGAGGATCTCTTTCCGGTTCATTTCCAATGCATCATGGAGCAACGTCAAAGCTTTGTTGCGGTCATCATTGTTTAAAGTTGCAAGGCGACGAGAGGCAAGTGATGCGCTCTGGGCGGCATCAACTGCTGCAGAGTCGGCCAATGACATGATGTTCAATAATCCCCGCTCCTATTGAGATTGAAAACAACAAGTGTGAGAAAGCAGTGGAGATGGTAGAGACTTAGAAGCAGGGGAAAGAAAATAAAAATCTGAGTCAAAAGTGTGGAGGGGCACGTTATCGATCCCGCTCGTCTCGGATTTACCCACCTCCCCGAGATCTCCAATAATCACCACAACACCCTACGTCACATTTCTTTACCCAACATACACCCATACCTACAACGAGGTTTCTTTCAAAGATATCTTATCAAATCTCTCTTATTTCCGCTCTCCTCTTCCTCATCCAACTTCGAGTCTCCATTCTATTCCAATCCTGACATCACAAAAGCAAAAGCCAAGAGATCACACTGGTTTGAAACAAGACACCTTTGCGCATTTGACGCCGAATTATCTTGTGTTCTTCTTCCACAAATTGCCATGATGACACTCCTCTCGGATATTGTCTCTGCATCGGCGCATTTACACCATTCTAACCACCTACCCAGCGACGAGTATGACCGTCGGATCCGCGAGCTAGTTGAATACCTCAGACGGTTACAAACGACCAAGGCACTCGACTCATGTGTCAGTGATGAGTCTGTTCTCAATGTAAGCAGCTTTATTCATATCAAGTCTTCTCTGTGAAAGTTGTACGAGTTCGCAGCTAATATGCATTTATCTCTAGCGTTTTGACCCAGCGATAGATTCTATCCCATATCTTTTCGTGCTACAAGCGCAAATACAAAAGGCACAGGAACTGAATTCTGATTCATTCCCAGCGGATCTCCGTCCTTCGGGAATGCTATGGACATGTGCTGCACATTTTTTGGCGAGTTTCGATAGGGTCCAAGTCAGATACGCTGGACGAGAATGGCGCCTTCTTGTTGAGCTCGTGGCGCAAGCCTCACAGGCTGCATCAAGGGCAAGTCGGCTATTTTCCAACGTTTATTGGATTTAATTGCTAACCTAACCCTACTACAGCCACTGCTAGGCGCTACGCTGATTAAAGACGCTATGCTCCACCTTGACCCATCGTGTGCCGTTTTTACCTCGAGCCACCTTTTGCTTGTCCGGCTTTGTCTCCAGGCCAAAGCATATTCTTGTGCATTGCCTGTCCTGAATAAGCAGATTTGTCATTTCCCAATTTCGCTAGGGCGTCCCTCTTCAGACCCCTCTGTACTCTGCGCAGATCACGACTCGAGTGTATCCTTTATGACTGAAGCTTCCGGGGTTTCAACCAAGCTATCATATCGAGACTACTTGGAGTACTTTCTTTATGGTGGTATGGTATACATGGCGTTGAAGGAGTGGCGCAATGCACTTCATTTCCTTGGAATTGTCATCTCTATGCCTAGTACTAGCTCTGTGAGCTTGATTATGGTGGAAGCCTACAAGAAATGGGTGTTGGTAGGTTTACTTGAAAAGGGCAAGGTGAGCTTTCTATTGGCTAAAAGAAAGGAATCTCGACAGCAATAGCCCTTTTGTTTTCTCGAGCTAACTGTTTCCGTGAGCAGCTCTGTCCGCCTCCAAGTATCACAACACCTCACGTGGTGAAAGTGTATCAATCACTTGCGAGGCCCTATATCATTCTTGCTCATGCATTTGAACGTGGTGATTTGAAGAGACTTAATGCTGAAATTGATGCTGCCAATGGAGTCTGGTGTGCGGTAGGTGATGGCTCTAATTAGCACTCTAGGTTAAACTATTTTGACATTCAGGGCTAATGCTGCCGCTCTAGGACAATAATCTCGGTCTGGTTTCCCAGGTAGTGGGTGCTTTCTTCAGTCAAACCGTTATCAAGCTTGGAAAGACCTTTGCAGCTTTAACGATGGCCGACCTTTCAATGCAGGTGTTTCCCTCCCCTGTGTGTGCAGAAGTTACTGCATCCGCTGTTTCGTCTCTCATCATTTCTCGTGCTTTGAACGCGACATTGGTGCAAAGCAAAGATCATACTGAGTCTTCTATGCTACGGTTCTCATCTATTCATTCGTTGCCTCGACTCTCTCATGAGCTGGACTTGCAGTCCCAGCTCAAGCAGGAGATGAAGCTGATGGAGACCCTGGTGATTAATCTTGGGGAAACAAATAATAACCTGGGATTAAGCGATGAGTACGTTGAGAGCCTACATAAGGGTCAGGTTTGGTCAGGTTCAAGTGAAGTCAATCCCATTGTAGGTGGGGAGGCTGGACTTGATATGGATGAAGACCTGATGGGTGACATGTCCTGAGTTCATCTTTGATATTGAATAACAATAAGGACTGAATAATCTTGCTTTGGATGTATTGCTTGTGGTGCTGTTCGCTTGTAATGCATGTAAACTAGCTAGTGATGATTGTAATAAATATAAGGGTTTGCCCAATAGCCATACCACAAAAATTTCTGATCCCACCCGCGCGTTGTTAACCGTCTCTAGTCTACTAGATATCCTTGACTATTAGCTACAGAAGAACTCCACTACTAGGACAGACTATGTCATTATATAGCAAGCGCGGTTATAAAAATCGTCTTAGGGTTCTAGTATTTTTCTGATAACGCAGCAGGTTAACCTTTAGAACGTGTGTAACCCTGTGCTCTGCTTAGGCCGCTACTGCTAAGGGATTAATTATAGAGTCCGACTATATGCACACCCCTTAGCGCCATTTTTTACTAACTGCACACCTTTAGTCCATTTTAGGTATAGCTTTTCTTAGCCAACCATTTGTTATCATTTATGCAATTTAATATGGTATCTATATAGTAAATAATACTCTTATCACCTAACCTATAGCTATATATAACCCTATACTAAAATATTCCTTCCCTACCTACTAAAGCCTACGAACTATAGGAATCGCCCCCCCTAACTAACCGATTTACTACCCTAGAAGTAGACTGCGACATCGCCCATGGATAGGCGGGTGGGTATTGCCCACAGGCCTTATGTAAGCGGGAAATGGGCCCTATAGAGAGGCCTATAGATAGGCCCTACCCTTAGGGCCTAAGGCCTATGGGCGTCGTGGGCGCCTATAGGCCTTTTTAGTAAGCAGAATTTCTTAACCTTGTAACCTATATTATTTATATATTTTTTCTCTATATTTTTAAGTAATTTGATTATATATATAATAACTTAATATATTATTACTTTTTTAATTAAGATTAGAAATAAGCCTTAAAAGCCTTTATATAATAACTTAGGTATTTATTATAATTATATATTTATACTAATATAATATAAATTAATTATTATTAGGTTTATTATACTTCTTTATTTCTTTTAAATTAAAGTACCTTTAAATACTACCTTTATCTCTATAATAAAAGAGATAAGAACTACTTTTATCTTTACTATTAATTAGTTTAATTCTTTATTATTTTTATATACTTAATATTATAAAAGGATAAAGAAGCTAATTCTTTATTATAAATTTATACTTAATTAATCTAATAGGATTATTATCTTTAGAATCTTTATTATTATTAATTAATTTAAATATATTAATAGTAAGCTTAACTTTTCTTTATTTATCTATTTCTTATATAGTATTACCAGCTAGTTCTTAATTCAAAGAGTGCATTTCAATAAGAATTCTAAGTATAGAGAGGGAAAGGAGAAAGGAAGAAGGGTTAAGAATCAGTCTTCCCTTATAAGGACTTAATATAAACCTAGTAAATATCAACCTTCCTCGCTTATCCTTTCTTAGAAAGCAGTTAATAATAGTAGAACTATAATTATTATCTCTTAGATTATAATATAACCCCTAACTAAGAATATATTTAGTCCTTAAATACTAGTTTATTATTATTAATATAGTTATCTAAGAAGTTATTATATTATACTATATCTATCTACTCTTATAATTATAGTAGAGGACCTAGTTTTATTAGTTCTTTATTATAGAAATCTTATAACTTCTATAATATATACTTAAAATTACTAGTTAGGTACTATTATAGGTTTATATTATAGCCTAATTACTATATTTAATATTATAGTTTTTAATAGTAAGTTCTTAAATCTAATATCTTCTTAATTTCTTATTTATTTATTTTATTAACTTATATTAGTAGAGGAGGATTAAGGTATTATCTATTTAATAGTTTAGTTATTATAGCTTTCTTTAGTTTATTTAGGTTAAAAATAAGATATACTTAAATTAAATTAGGTAGATTAAGTTTATATATATTTTTAACTTTTTTAATAATCTTATATAGGCTATTAGTTAAGTAAGCTAGCTTTCTATTTAATTAAGTTAGTTATTAGTCCTTTATAATAATAAAGATATAATTATTTATTTTAAAATCTTTTTTTTATTAGTATTTATTTACTTATAATATCTATAATTATTAAGACTTAATAATCTATTTTTTAGTTTCTTTTTAAATCTTTTATAACTAAAAGAGTATATTTATTATATCTTATTTATTTTATATTAAAGTATTCTAATCTTTTTAGTTAAATAATATAATAGGCTTATATTTTTATTTAATAAAAAATAATAATTATTTTATTATATTTTAAAGAAAGATTAAAGCTATAAAGTCTACTATTAATAAGATTTTTAATTAATTATTCTAATTATACTTAATATATAAATATAATCTTTATATTATATACTAATTTATAATCTTACTTTAATTATCTATTTAAAAATAATAAGTTATTAATAATTTTCTTTTAATTCTAAAGATTTAATAGAATTTAATCTAGAATTCTAAAATAAATTAATCTTTTTTATCTAATATAATTATTTCTAATATCTTTATTACTTAAATAATATTATTAATAAAAAGTTAAACTATCTTTTTAATATCTATATCTTTATAATAAAAGATAGATACTAGTCTTTTATTTAAATAGTTAACTACTATAAAAACTATATTATACTTATATTAATCTTTTAGAAATAAATAGAAATCTATTAATATATATTATTATAGCCTTTTAAGAATTAAAAAAGAATAAAATAATTTAAAAGTCTTATCTCTTTATATCTTTATTTATTTATAAATTAAATAGTTATTAATATAGTATTTTATATTTATAGTTTATTCTAACTAATAATATTAAGTTAAGATTAGTTTTTTTAATTTCTTAATTTTAAAATAAACTATTAATAGCTATTAGTATATATTATTTAATAGTTTTATATATAAATCCTATTTATTTAGAACTTTTAATTACCTTTTATATAGGAATAATCTCTTTTATAAAATCTATTTTTAGTTATTTATTTTAATAATTTATTAAAATTTATTAAATTTAGTATTATAATAATTTACTTCTTTTATTTATTTAATAATTTCTTAGATTTATAGTTTTTTAAGATTAATAAAGGCTAAGTTAATTAATTAGACTCTTTTATTAAAATAATCCTTTAATAATATAATAAACTATTAACTATTATTAATATAAAGTAAATCTTTTTATAAAAGAATATCTATAATAATATTCTTCTTATTTAGGTAATATTTTATTAAGAAATAAAATTATAAAAGAAATTTACTCTATTTTACTTAAAGATAATATAATCTATAGAATTAAATTATAAAGTATAAGATAAGAAACTCTTAATAATTATTTATATATTATAAGAATAGTAATTAGAACTTAAAAGACTGTTATAAAAAGACTATTTTAAAATTCTTATTAATTATTAATCTTTTAAATACTTTATAATAATCTAATAGATAAATTAGGAATAAATAAAATAGAGTAAATTTCTTTTATAATTTTATTTCTTAATAAAATATTACCTAAATAAGAAGAATATTATTATAGGTATTCTTTTATAAAAAGATTTACTTTATATTAATAATAGTTAATAGTTTATTATATTATTAAAGGACTAATATATTAATTAATTTCCTTTTTAAAAGTAAGAAAATATTTTTATAATTAATAAACTATTTAAATAAGATATTTTATTTAATTAATTAATATAAAGGCTTTAAAATAATATTATATCTTTAGATAAATTATTAATAGAAATTATAAAATCTAAGGAATAACTAAACTCTTTTTATAGTAATAGGTATTATTTATAATTATATTATATTAATCTTTTTAAAGTTAATTACTATCCCTTTAATACTTATAATAAATCTTAAGAACTTAATTTTATTTATAAAGAACTTATATTTAAATAGTATAACTTAAAGGTTAGCTTCTTTTAAATACTAAAGTACTTCCTTTATCTATTAATAGTAATTATCTATATTTTTACTATAAATAAAGATATTATCTATAAAGATAACTATATATTTATCTATATATTCTTTAAGAATATTATTTATAAATCTTTAAAAAGTTATTAAATTATTTATTAACTTAAATAGTATAACTTTATATTTAAATAACCTATATTTTATATAGAAAGTAATAAGTTTTTTAACTTTTAAAATTAGATAAATTCTATAAAAGCCTTACTAAATATTAAACTTTATAAAAATCTTTACTTTATTAATTTATTATAATATCTTATTAATTAAAGATAAAGGGTAATAGTCTTTTTTTATAATTATATTTAGCTTTTTAAAATCTATATAAACTTAAAGTCTTTTATTTAGTTTCTTTACTATTAGAATTAATAATATATAAAGAATAAAATTAAGAATAATAAAGCCTTTTTTTAAATTATTAAGTATATATTTCTTAATAGCTTTTAATTTATTAAGAAAGAATTTATAAAAAAGATAATAGCTTAATATAGTTTTTATTTTTAGGATAATATTATAATCTATTTTAGTTTTATAAAATAGTAGTTTATTTAATTTCTTTTTTAAAAAGACTTTATTTAAGTTATAATATTCTTTTAGAAGTATTTATAAAATTTCCTTAATTTTAAAATCCTTAATAAAAGTATTTTTTACTCAAATAATATAGTTAATTTTATAAAGTAAAATAAAAAAGATTTTAATTTCTTTATTTACTTTCTTTTTTTCTTAAAAATAATTAAATCCTATCTATCTAATAATACATAAATTAATTAAAAAAAGCTCTTTAACTATCTTTTTATTCTAAAAGATAACTACTTTAACTTTATTATTTAAGTTTTAAGTTATCTTTCTCTATTCTTTTATATATTAGTATCTATATTACTATTCTCTAATATATTAGAATTTATTTATTTTAGTCTTTTTTTAGTTTTTTTATTCTATATATTAATCTTATTAATCTATATTAGTCTAGTAATTACTATTAGGTCTAGGCTTTTAAAGTATAATAGTTAGTATTAAGACTATTAACTT